GCAGCTCCTGGTACTACAAGAAGAGGCAATGCTCCAGGCCCCCCGAAAAGTTGTCCGTGGGTATCAACTTCAATGAAAGTGTTGCATAAACTGAACACAGGGTGGGCTGGACTTCAAACATGCTGGTTGTGCTCATTTGTGGTATTATTGACCTTTCATAACTCACTCATGGTTGCTTTTCATTCCATCGTTCCAGTTAAAGAGTTTGTCAATAACTCTGGAAATAAATCAGGTCTCCTGAGTTAGTCCATTTTCTTACCGTAATTAATGGCAAACACGAGATCCCTTCCCTGCTTCCCTAGACACACTGCTGTGTGCTTCTGACGGCACTGTGATTGAAGGACTAGCCTGGTTTCCATTACCAACACTTCTTGTTGTTGCTTAGGGATAAGTAAAATAAATTTAAAAAAACACACACAAAAGACTTTCCTTAGGATAAAAACTTTTGAGCCAAGGGCAAGGGCACAAACCAAGATTAGGGCCTGTTATTGCTTCTCTAGCACAGGCCAGCAGCATCACACCCATGTAGCTCTGCCCATGTCCTGCGTGTGGCCATTGCGCAGCCAGGGAGCACCCTTTAGCACAGTCATATTCCTTCTTTCACATTCACATTTGCTACTTTCCACCTAAATTTTCATATTGATTGTAGAAAACTGAAAGTGATGCTTAAGTGGCAGTTAATAGACATAGAGCAACAGCTTGCTTATAATGCTTTAACTGAGGAGCCTGTCACCATGCTAAATGGCAATCAATCAACCGGGTGTATTTACCCAGTCCTTTTAGAAGTGCGATATAATGCAGACTCCTTTTGGGAGCCACTGAACTCACCATGAACAGACGCAGACTTCACATGGTCTTGCCTGTTGCAGGAGTCAAGGAAGAACGAGTTTTGCTGAGAACATGCGGCCAGTGTTAGCTTGAAACGTCGCTGTCAGGCAAGGAGATACATGGGTCACTTCAACAGAAGTTGCCGCTGCACCTGTAAGTAAATACAACAGCTGCCCTTTACACAGGCCTTATTGTTGCCTGCTCACACTGTTGTAGTTTGGGAGAATCTCATTAATACTGCGCCAAAAATGTAACTGTCAAGCAAGAAATGTGTTTGAGGGATTCCCACCAAGCTGTTCTCACAGGAGCAGAACTGCTTTGAGACCTTCAGTAACAGATTAGCAAGGCCACAGTTTTTATGGCTCAGCTGAAGCACTGGGGACTGATAAGAGAATAGTAAACCTTTAAAGAAAGGAAACACCAACAAGCAATTCTACTTGCAGCCACAAATGGGCACTAACTTTGTAACTGTCCTGAACCTCTTTCCTCTTCTAGACAGTCTAAAATTGTTGTACAATTCTCCAGACACTGTTTTTCTTTAACATCAGTTGTCACTAGCAACATGAGTAAATAAACCTCTTTCCTAAACCGTCACTTTAGAAATTGCCCGTTCAACAGTCATTATGGGGCAAAAACATCCTTCCGACATAATCATTTCTAAGGGCGATCCCCATGCAGTCTGCTAGCTGCCTCTGTAAAGTTAAATCAGCGCACTGGATTTTCTGCCATTCTCCACCCCATCTGAGATAGGACTCGGAGTTGGAAAGTCATCAGAAACGAGCTGCTGTCTTCAGTGACTGCCTGCAGGGAAGGTGGGTCCTGGCCCATAGACGTTTTTAAAGACTGGGATTTTGGCTTGAAGTGGCCGTGGCCACAAAACTAAGAGCCAACGGAAATGGGATGACAGGGCAGGGTGTTTTTTCCCACGGAGTTGCTGCACAGCCACTTTTCCCCAGAGAGGCCCTTTACGTTGCATCACGCAGGTTACGCACACGCTGAATCCCAGCTACGGCCCGTTACTGCATTCCATCTCAGGGAGGGACAAACGCAAACCCCTTAGCCATCGTTTCTGAAAGTGCCATGGGTTTTTCGGCACTGGTCAGAGGCAACTAAAAGAGGGCCCGGAGGCCTCACATCACTTTGAAAAGTGAGGTCAATATCTTTGCTAGAAGGGGAAGACAGAGTTCCAGCTACTTACTGAGAGTCCCAGGATTGTGTCATGCTAATATTATGTGTTATAAACACACAAGAAAGTGTTCCTTCTAAGGGAAAAGGAAAAGGCAGAAAAGAAAAAGCAAAGGTTATTAAGAATTAAAAGATCAGACTTCTTTGAAAAAAACCTACCATTTCCCACCATGTGTGGTACGTGCAGTCTGGTTCTAACAGGAAAGCAAGTAATCAGGCAGTGATTTGTGGAAGTCCTTTAGGAAAATAGGCCACTGCTGGGTGTGTGAGTAACTAATGCACATTTGGTTTGTGTTTGAAGGCAGCAGCAGCAACAGTGATGACACAAATTAATTGCACAGTTTTCAGGAGATAATGCAGATGAGGTAAAGAGAATTACTATGCGATTAACATAGTTTCCAATTAAAGTCCCCTGTAGTTACTGAAAAACATTAATTTCTAGTAACTTGCTAATTTAACTTGTGTCACCACTGTACGTGGATCGTCAGCACTAGGGCAACTTGTGAGATCGTCTATGCTGGAGCGTGTTGTGTGAGAAACATTAAAAAAAATCTTGAAATAGCTATTAGTTTTTAACAACTATTTATAGCAGGCTTCAAACAAAACACCATTGTGGTAAACTAAAGAATTCGATAACAGATTTAAGGACTAAACTTAAGAGCGTCAGCTGTTCTAGCACTGAAGTCTTACCCCTATTCAGAGAGGCAAAAAAAAAAAAAAAGCGCCAGTATTTAAATAAACCTAGCAACAGTATTTCAACCCTTATGTTTCTTTATGAACAAGTTGCAAAAAGGCTGAGACGAATGAAACTATTTCTCCCTTGCAGGTAAGTTTGCTGTTGGGATGGCAGAACTACATTTTTCTTTTTAACACTTACGTACTGTAACTCTTTTATTTCCATTTAACCCTTTCTGGTAAAGGAATACCAAACCAAAAGACTTTCAAATAGCAGTATATTTCCAGAGGAATAGCTAGCATATGTGGGAACCCGCACATAGGATTTGCTAAGGTACTTGAATTTCAAACAGTGGAATTCAGGAATAGAGAAAATTAATTCTTTAGTTATTACCTTAGGTTAAAGTTACAAGTACCGCAATGAAACAGAGCTACCCATTACATGCTTGTAAGCATATAGCAGATCAGCAGGTACAAAGGCATAACTTGTAGGATTAGCGGGCCTGAGCAATTTTGTTTTAGTGTGAAGACAGAATGTAATCTGTCATCACCAAGTAGAGTCGTTATCATTTTGATCCTGTGCGTTTTCAGAAACATGCTTCTGTTTTGGACTGCTTGTTTCAATATGTAAGTATACTTAGTGACCAGTATCGGAACAATCATTCCTTTGACGTCTGCCTGCTTGACAGGTTGCTACCAATAATGTTATGAAGGGTGAAGCCCACAACAGGGCTGCCTTTCCACAGAGACAGGCTCTTTTGTGTAGGGCTGGAATGACTCGAGACATGTATCAGTATTTGTACAGTTACTTTCCATTTTGGAACATAAAAATACCACATACGAAATGTCAATAGGAAAAAGTCCATCGGGTAGCTATATATTTTTCTTAGTTTCACATAACTAAATACTGCTTCCCACTTCCTCATTACAAATATTGCAGACTCTTGTGCATTAAAGTCTGTAAAGCTTATTACATTTTATTATTATTACTACGACAACAGAAGTTGTAAATGGAAAAGACATTATTGATTCAACTAATCAACTGAGTGCAGGGTTGCTCTTTATTGTGCGTTTGTTAGTCTTTGGGCCAGGCTGGTTTTTAACAGCCTTACATGGCAAGACTTTCAACTCTTCCGTGTGAGATTATTACACAGCCAAGCATTCCCCTGCAGGGAGCTTCTCCTTTAGCCTCTTCCCATTTCTTAAAGATGCATGTCCTTTTAGCGTTTCCTCTAATCCCTCTCCTCCTCACTGGTGCATATACGCTAAGTATTTGTAAAGTGTCATACTTCCCTCTCACCCTAATCTCGCTCTTCAACCACAGAGTAATGGAGCCACATAGTTAAGAGTTAAATCTTTCTCAACTCCATCCCTGCAGGCTCCTGATCATTTTTACTGTTCTTCTGTGAACTTTAATTAGTTAATGCCTTCCTCATGGAAAGGTAAGCAGAAAGGAGAGCATCAGTGAGACCAGATTATACCAATTATATCCTCCTGCTCTGTGACAAAAGCTTTTAATGATGCAGCACAGAATTGCTTTTTTTAAAAATGTGAAAGCAAAGTACAACTTCATGTCTAATTTCCTGTCCACTGTTACCCAAAGGAACCACTCAAGAGTTTGGCATTGTTTTTGCTGAAGCGATATTAACTACTGCTTCACTAAACAGGAATCTGCTATTTTTCAGTTCTCACTGACATTCACAATTCTCCTCATTTTGACATCTAAATTCCATAAATACGTTGTTTACTCCCTCTTCTGGACTATTAATGAAAAATATTAAGGAAGATGAAGCCGAACATCCTCACATACATGCAGCATCTAAAAGTAATATTATGCCAATTATTAATATGATTTACAGTGCAGAGGTTACTAATTTAGACAAATGGATGTGGGTTTTTTTCTGAAAACAAGTGAAACCACAAATAATCCCATTTGTTTTTTTGGAATTCTAACTCAATGGACACATGTGAAAATGCACATTTCAACCCTGACAGGTACATATACTTGATCCAGTTCTGCCTGAAACCTAGCTATTAGTCACTTCTTTCTCCTAAAAGGAGAAAAGGCACTTCAATGAATACATGTGATGCTTATTATTTGGATAGACAACATTTGTGCCTTCTGTGCCTGAATGGCACTTAGAATAGGTTAACCTTTGGTTTACAACACAACGATAAAATTTGCCTTTATGACAAATAAACAGAGTACTCGCAATATTTTTTTAAATGCAGGATTATACCCATTCTGAGAGGAACTAGTATTAATAAGAAAGCCACATGCATTTAATATTTTCACACTTTATTTTCCAAGCAGTGTTAATACAAATTTTAAATATTGCATTTGCTTTGTTAAAACATGAAACTATTTATGTACATTTGTTTGCATTTTTAGAACATAGACCATCGACTAACCATTTGTACAATAACATGTATCAAAAAAAAAAATCACACCCCAGAATTTTTACCATCTACTCCCATGCTTGCTTTGATTTAAAAGCTGCACTAACAGCAGAGAAGCCTCAACATTGTAATAGCTGAAACAGAAAACAAACACTGCTCCCTTCTAATAACTGTCTTTATCTGCTTTGATTGGTTGCCATTAATATTAATAGTATAACCTTTAAAGTATTAGCTTTCCCCACAATTTTTATCTTCACTCCTCATAGTAAGGCTCCAAAGCAAGCTTAATGAGAAACCATTATAAAATCATACTGCTAAATAGTATCTTAACTCACAATCCAGCCTATATAATTATATCAGTATTGCAAATAACAATTACTGCTGATATATCAAACTTACATCCTGAGCAGCACAGTGTAAAAAAGGTATGTCATGATTACAATATTAAACATTACTAGGGCTTATGTAGGAAAATAGATTAGATATTACTCTTACCACAGGAATGCAGAGCTCAAATTTTGCTTACAAACAGAAAAAAGCTGGTCTCACAACCTGTGGATGTATGTTCATGACATAAAACCTACACACGTCTGGCATCTTCTGCTCAGGATTTGTCCTGGACTGAAACATTAGGGTCACAAGGTAGGATTTAGGGACTGGCCAAGCTTTTTAAGAGGACGAGCCCAGGACATAGGCACATTTCAGCACACCTGGCTCTAAACAATGCCACCTATCTTCACTAGCGCAACGTAACATTAAACTCACCCAACTACCAGTGAACAAAAATAATTAGTAAGTACATTTATAAATGACATTTTAAAGACTATTAACATATAAAACATTGTATTCTTTATGAAAATAGACCATTTCCAGCACAGCTTGCCTTTTGGGGAGAGGAAGGAGGACACACACATATATTTTTTAAAAGACAAGTGTTCTCCTGGACAGCTGCCAATAATCTAGTGTAAAATGTCCTTAAAGCAAGACAAACTCCTCTGTACTAAGTCTTTTTAATGTTTTCTTTTCATCCTCAGAGAAAAGGTAATTTTCTTCATGGAGCGGACTGGAAGCAAAGTCATAATCTCTAGAATGACCCTTTACAAAAGTAAACAAGGGATATTTCTCCTTAGATGATGATTTCAGCATCTATAACGTAAAACACATACCAGATAAAATGTTAATTGGACATGAAGAAACACAGGAACTAGTGACTAATTAGTGACTGTACAATGAAAAATACAAAATGCATTTTTAAATTATTTTCATTATTATCATGCTAACAAACAAAAGCATCGCACAATGTAAACATCCCCTCCTCTTAAACATGCATTTCCATTTCATCTTCTTCAGAGAGTAAACAGCCTCACTGACAATTTTATGCCTAACCCTGCAACTCGTTCCACACGCATCATCTCTATGTGCGGACTGGTGCTAGTTTCAGTGGAGCTAGAGCTCTGCTAGGAGGGGGGGAAAACCCTACAAAATAATTACCTCCTGGATCACAGGTATGAATTCTGAAGCAACTAAGCAACTTAGTTATAGGGGGATATACTTTTATTGTAGAAACAGCATGTACAATAATCAATATTTGTATTAGTTTAAACACGTAAGTTTAAGAATGTAAGCCCATCCAGAGCACTTGACTAAAAACAGATTGCACGTGACAGCAGACTGTGATAATTGGAGTGCCAGAATCTACATTTTTGAAAAAAACCGAGCGTGCTGTAGAAAGGCAACGGTGTGGAATGATAAACAGAAAAACAGCAAAATACTTCTAATAGCAGATAACATTCATCCAAATACTGGATGGCATTTCAGCCTTTCAGGCTGTTTAAAGCTCTTGAATGTCCACCGATTTTTTTTTATTATTATTTCTTACCTTCTTTGATAGAAAAAGAGCTCAATATACAGTGATGCTTTCAGATGCAGAACTACGTTAATATACAGGCATAAACTGTGTGGGACTAAAAACTCTAAAAAATAGTTTAAATGACAAACAATTAATCTAGAACAGTAAAAAGAAAAACAAATAGATCTTGAAACAGTAAGAGCTGCTAGAAAAACCAATTGGGGCTGGAAAAGTCACACTTATAGTAAAATCAGATTCTCTGATTTTTACTGCGCTTGAAATTTTCTACTTTGTTCTAGCCTATTTTAATTGCATTCGACTATTGTACTGTGAAACCTGGGGAAAAGGGCAAGGAGATAAAGAAAAGGCATGCAGACATTAACAAGCAAGAGCAAAGAAAAAGAAAGAATGAGTATTTGCGGAGGAAAGAAAAAAGTTTGACAAGAAACAAAGCACTGGCAAATCTTACAAGACTAGCTAATTGGACGCAAACCTCGTCCTCTCTAGGAGCTGAGTACAAGCTGGGTCAGTAGGAACAGAAATTCATAGCCATACAAAGGCTGCTTGGTGGCCTATCAGTTGGACTTTGGCCAGCGCCTAACTGACAAGCGTCCGCAACTCAAAACTCTCCGCTGCCCCTCAGGGCAGCCACACACGCACAAAGACCAAACAAACATCTCGCCTTTAAAGATGGCCCCTCCAAATCAGGATAGAACTGCTTTATCCCTGGGAAAACCTGCAGTCCTGCTGCCATTGTCTGTGTTGAAACTTCCCTGAAACTTCATTCTCTACAGGCAGCAGTAGCACCTCTCTGCTGTGTACTAAGGGAAGTGATGAAAGATTAAAGAGAGAACATGAACTGGACAGACGGGCAAAAGCCAGAACAAGAAGCAAGTGGAACTTGATTAAGGTTATAAAGTTACATCTCACTCAGTGATTACAAGTATTAAGCAAATTCTCAAAAAAAAAAAAAATATATATATATATATATACACAGATAAAATATATGTTTTTATATATATATATATAGAAACAAGTGAAATAATGTATTTAGGTTTTATTTATTTTACAAAAAGTAAATTGTACAGGAATATGTGCTTTCATACTATACGTTATATAAATGGCTATTTCCACTAAAAAGTTCTTGTAAAAATCAGTCAGACCCTGGAGACCACAAGTTTATTTTGGGGAATGACACTTACTGGGATGTGATACATATTCAGATGTCCCATAAATACAAATTGGTATGATTAACTACAAAAGTCTTTTATGATTTTGAAAAATACAATTCATTTTAAGAATCACTAGCAGAACCTGAGTGACTTTTCAGGGACTTGGTCAGGCACCATGTTGTACATTTTTCAAAGCCCAGATTTTGAAGAGTACTTCAGCTGTCTATATGAGGTTGGTTTATAGTATCACTGGAAAATTAAAAAGACAGATCTATTACATTTATATGATAGCTGAACACACCTTAGGACAAGATGGACAATGCACAGACTTGAGAAACATGCATTCTGTTCTCGGTTTTGCCATGGATACCCTATGTAATGTGGAAGAGGCAAGCAAGCATGGGACCCTGTGCTATAAAACGGGTATAGTGATTCTCTACTGAACGCTGCCATTGGATAGATCTACTTTTACTTGCAAGTTCTTTAGATACTATCCACTGTGATGATTTCTACAGAAAAGTTTACCGATAAATACCAGTATTTTTTTTAAGCATTTCAGTGTTTGACTGACAGATTGCCACTGTTGCCACTGCAATAGTGAGTTCTTTGTACCCGAAGTGCACCCAAGTTCAATACTCAAACAGTCCAGTTCTCCTGAGAACTCTTCATTTCTGCTAAGAATCTGAGCTATAAAGGGGCAAATACAATCATGGCCCAAGTTGATTATATATTTTCAGCCATGGTTTTTTAATTGGAAACAATACACTGCATGAACAGAAAGACAAGCAAGGTATTAGTCATATAACAAGGTGAAGCAGCAGCAGAGGCTGCAGGCAGGGAAAGGTAGAGGCTTCCTAGGTAGGGTACGAGGCTGAGCTGCTCGTGGGTCTGCCCCAGGGCGTGGAGGAGCCAGGCAAGCTGCCTGGGTATTCGCTGCTACTCATGCTGCAAGTGCAGCATGGAGGTAAGGCTACAGCCACCCCTGTAAATCCATACTGCAAGTCTGGATGCGTTTCCAGGCCTCCTAAATCTATCAGCTATTTAATTCTAGCTAATATTAAACTACTGAATAATAGCTACCTGACTAGCAAGTAGAGCAATAGAGGGTAACGCAAGTGTGATTTGGATGGATTTTCACCAATCACTTCCATTTGGGTCCTTGATTTCTATGCCCTGATTTCTCTTTTACTGAATATATGGCTCATATAGGGTATATCCTCACATAATAAAAGCTAAATAAATCTTTTCTCCCACCTCTTATTACCCATAAAAGCAGCAAGAATCTGAATTTGTTAGTCTAGCCTACACAGGACCCACTGAGAATATACTGGGCTAAGAGTTCAAGAATTACAGTATTCAAATTGCAAACAAATGGAAAAAAAATAATAGAAAAGCAGGAAAAACAAAGGATGTGAAGAAGAGATGGAAGGATCACAGAATCTCTCTCTCACATGGTGTTTGTATGCAAACTCCTCTATTCTGAAACTTTCTGTGTCTGAAATATATTAATATTAAAATAATATCACTAATATTAAAGAGCATTATCCAAAATGCTAGAAAAGTAACCCCAAGACTTAAATCAATTACTGTTTTCACTGTTCAGGGAAAGAAAAGTACTTAATCCCAAACTCAGGAGAAAAGAAACAAGAAAAAAAAAAAAAGAGTAGGAGAACTTCCAACGTAACCGATTTGGTAATCCAACTTTTTTAGTACGTTCTTATATTCTCTCTCATACACAGTAGAGCAGGAAAACAAGGAAGACTAGAAACTTGAATATTTAAACCTTCCATATATTTAATGCTCAGGAACTTATTTGAATCTATTTTTTAGTTCTCTGTTTGAATCGGACAAAGGAACAAGCTTCAGCATCAATCAAACCTACTAAAGATTATATGTATAAACTTTATTAAGATGATTAAGAGTGTATTAAGTTTAAAATGCTGGTTTTGCTGTAACACTAATACCACTTAAAAGGACATTCAAAAGGTTGTACAAGCATTAATTTTGTGCCGTTGTGTAACTACTGTGGTTAGAATATTAATATTGGGACCACCTTCTGTTACTGCCGAATCCCTTCGTACACAATTAAGTTACAGAACGGGTTATTCAGTATCACAGTTAATACAATATTAATAATTTTGTATTGCATACACTCATATGCTGTAACAATCAAGGGGAAAAGAGTCAATTACATTTGGACCTAAATAAACCTATCCCTATGTTTTTCAAATGGAAGGGACACGATCAGACAGATTTACGGAATGATACCTGCTCTGTTGACTTCAAAACATTGTTACCCAGTCATAAGCACACTGCTTTACATTTAAACACAATCAGAAAAACTCTTATGCTAACAAGAAATAATAGACAGTTTTGGCTTGATCAAAAAAAAAAAAAAAAACCCTCCCAAGGGATTGATTGCCTCTTAAAAATTCCTCCTCAGGCATGGGGTAATTCCAGTGCCCCTCAAGGGCTGGCTGGGGAAATATTTTCATTTCAATAGTGCCACCTCGTGGAGCTGCCATGTGCCAGCTCAGCTTTCCAGTTCATGCATTGTTTTTATTCCATCCGTTTTCTCCATGAGAGAGCGTCTCTAATAATACAATTCAGGTTCTCCCCAGGTTTTATATATTGGCATTAAATAGATGTAACGAAAAATAATCTACGTTTCTCATCATTAAAAAAGACGCAATAAATATCAAGAAAAGGAATGATTTCTAATTAGCAAAGCTTTGCTGGTCCTCTCCCCTTACCCACGCACAATGCACACACATCGCTTCCGACTGAGGAATCGATCCCGTAACTTCAGCACCTACCTTTGTTATTTCTTCCGAAGCCTTCTCAAACTCCTGCACATTTCTACAATAAAATCCTATTGTACAGCTTGGATCCATTTTTTTGAATGACATCTTTTTGGGAGAAGGACAGTGGAATGACTGCAGGTTTCAAAATTACAAAACATGAAATATACTGTTAAGGTTGAGAACGGTACAGATCAAAACACTTGCTTTTCTATCCACAGCTTTAACACAAGGTTTCCTGTATTACTTGTACTAAAACGCAACGCACACTTTTGAAGTTATTTCTTCCGACCCCAAAAAACATTCAAGTAATTCCACCCTTCTCCACCCAGAAGCCCTCCTGCTGTCTATGCTGCATTCACCAAACTTACACACGGCACCATGCTAGTTTGAAATCTGTCGAAGGTCTGCCGCTCCAAACAGTACTTTAGCCATATTCCCAAGGCAGAGCAGGTGAATGCTCTTCTGCAAATTGAATTTGTAACAGCTTTTGCACTATCTTACAATTACTGCTTTACTACCACCGCCCATTGCCCCCTTCCCTCCCCCAGCCTCCATAAAAGAGACATAATGGAATAAACCAACCTCCTGTATTTTGATTTAGTAAATGAAACAGGGGGGAGGGAAACATGCACAAACCACAAAAGCGAAAAAGTATTACACAAAAGCAAAAGTATTACAACAACAACCCGCAAGAGGGAGGGGGGAAAAAAAACCCACCTACCAACATGCCCTGCTTTATAAATGTTTTTTTTTCCCTAATGTGAAATTTCTTATCGTGACAGATGATGCTTTGACAGTGCTGTGAACTGATATTATCAGCAGCTATGGTATAAAAAAACCAAACCCAACCAACCAAAAAAACCCAAAAACCTTTCCCACACTCCTTCATTCACAGTTTCTGAGAGAAAGCGTAATATATGATATTTACCCTGATTAGGTGTTCATTTATTACCGGAACTGAGTGCAGAAAAGGGTTGCCGTTTTGATGAAAGCCCATCATCTAATAACTGAAACTATCTGGTCACTGTTGTCTGTCTAGATTCAAGCCAGTAACTCAAAGGTAGCGTCTTCGTCCTGCTACTAACATGCAACTAGCCAGTCATTTAACCTCTCTTAAATCATTAGCAATCCTGCTACAGCTACTCAGTATTTAAACTAACAAATGCTAACACAACACATCTGCAAGGCACTGCAAGGGGGATACCACTGTACTAAAACGCTTATTTTGTTTTCCATGACCTTCCCCCAGTGATCAGTATTCTCCAGTGAATATTCTGTGCTGTTTCCTCTCATTTAAATATAAGCTGCGCACCGACACATCGCCCTCCTGGCACGCTGCTGGTGAGCACAGGACATACAAGCAACGTGACTAAGCTCACTGACACAACAGTAAGCCAGGAGAGAGCAACACAGGCGATTTCTAAGGAACACCAGTGTGTTTCCTCTATAAAAGGTAACTAAACTGTTAAAATCTGACTACGTGAACAGCAACCCCTGCCAGTTAATAACAAGCGGTCTTTAGAACAGAAACCCATTCTACCTTTTTAATTTTTCTTTTGCCAGTCAGAAAAGTCAATCTACAAAGGAAGACAGCGCTCCTCACCTCACCTGAGAGGATTTGTCAGCGTAACGGTTTTACGTATTGAACTGTATTGCGCTTTACTTGTGATTACTAACCTAACAGAGGTATTCTTACTAAACCTTCAATAAAAAATTCAAGCAAAGATGAGAAATAATATTTATACAAGAATTTTTTTACTCATTGTTTTTCTTCTAATCCTGTCCAAATTCTATATGCAGAATATATAGGTTGAATATATACCTGGGTCATCAAAGACGTAAATCGGAACTCTGCCTTACGTATTGCATTTCAGCAACAACCTTCCTCTCTCTAGTTCGGCTGCACTGTTCAGGGCAGTATTCTTAATGCTACATGAATCACTGTACAACAAAGGGAAGTGGGTAGGCATTTCTTTTTTCCACTTCTCCAAACAAATGGATTCTGGAAGCCAATACAGAGTGGATTGATTTCCAACTTATTCTGGACAATTTGTCAATTTTGAAAATACTCCCTACAGATAAATCTAACAAGCAACTATCCACACTAAGAAAGCAATTTCTGTTTACTTTTGACATTTCTGGACAAAGATATAATGCTATTAAATGAACCAAGCATTAAATTGCAATATATTTTCCATCTGCAGAAAAGCATTAGGATGCGATCAAGCCAAGCTGGCAGCCTGCGTGCCTTCAAAATGCATTTTAAAAGCTTAATATTATTTGGAAATTCTTACTAATGCCAGCCTGCAGCACAATCTGGAGGATTAGTCATAGCAACAGAAGCCAAAAATATATGTATTTTTTCTGGTTGGCCACTGAGCTACGGTGTGACCTTAAGGAAGTCACTTCAACTCTGATCTTTCCACCTTTTGTCAGGCGTTCCCAATTAAATTGCAAAAATCTTCAGAGAAGGCACTGTATTTTACTACAGTTATTAGCATAAAGGGGCAAGGATCTTGGTTATAACCTCTGGATGCTACCACAATGCTAATAAGTAGAGCTGGGACTCTCACCAACTCTCCTTCCAAAGATCTCAACAGTGTAAACCTAAAAGGATCTCAAAAAATAAAGAACACTTCTGCCTAGGATATTTTCTAATACGTTTTGCCCAAAGTAAAACGGCAGGTATGCTCCTTTTTGAATTTAGAACTCTCTCATTTTCTACAGAAGCTTAGACTGCTGCATTATATGCCCTTTTAATTAAAGCATCCTGTCAAATGTAAAAATACTGAAAAACATGTAGTTTTTGCTTTAAGTCAGCCCTAGGTTTTAACATTAGCCCTTTATAAGCCTTTTGACATATATAAGCTGTTTTCATAAATACTGTTTGATGGTATTTTGATTAAGGTATTGTGATCAACTTTAACATATCACCTCTCTGATACATTAACAGATCTTTTTCCATGATAGTAGACAAGAAAATTGAAGTTAACTCTTGCTGCTCTCTCTCAGTTTAAGGTAAATATAAACTGTCATACAAAACGGCAGCCACAAAACATTTACTTTACTACAAACCATTTGACTTGCATTTTAAGTGTAGCCAATCACTTTAAGATCACCTACTCAATTCCTAACATGTGAGATTAAGAGCTGCATTCACAATCTTAAGACTCACTGATTTAAGACTCACTTCCACTTTTTGCAGGACTTCACTGAACACCTTTAAGAATCCTACTGTAAGTAATCAACATTTCAGGCATGGGGGAGATAAATGGAGGAGGAGGAGGAATATGTATTTAAGTGCAGTATGTTTTTTCTGAAGCCATGTTTCAACATTTAAGAGTATGTAACTGTTTTCAGAACTCAGTGGCACAAGGAACCACTACTAATCACCAGCTCTGTGTTCCAGGGCAGTCGATGACATCCTACGCAGCTGAGGTACCCAGTGAGCTTTTCTACACTTAAGAGTTGCTCCGAGGATCTCGGAAGTTCATGCAGAAGCTGGGCATACCAAGACCAAGGAGAGGTTGTAAAGATTACACCATACTACTGTGAGTACTGTGGATATTCAACACACACGTTTACAAGTGATGACTCTTTAATAACCTCCTTTAGCTTTCTCCCTATTTTCAATACAAGTTATTTGTGAAGAGGTTAACAGAAAAGGGAACGCTACTGTTAAAAAAACAAGCATGATTTTTTAACACCAAGGCATAGCCAGAAGAGAGGCATCTAGCAAGCCATGGTCTAGAAAGGGGGAGAAAAAAAGAAAAAAAGAACAAACACCACCTATATTTTCAGACCTGTCAGTCTACTAATCCACAGAAACAGTTAGATTAAAAATAGTAAGACTTGTTAAAGGAAATAGTTCAGAAAACTTGAATAAAATTCATGTATTCAGCCACAAACCTGACGGCTAAGCCTCAGAAATTTCACCTATACGAAGCTAAACAAAGTGACCTGCAAAGTTAAACTACGTTTAAAATGCTAACCAGCTACTCCAGTATAGAAATATTGAAAATATCTGAAAAAGAATCAGCAGCTACATCTATAAGAACTGTGGTTCAAAATTGACAGCAAGCTCCTACTACTGACTGCTACAGTAATTCTCTGACTGATGTTCACTGCAACTTGAAATAAACAAACTACCCCAAAACAAACCCAAGTAGCTCGTGTTTAAGATCTCCAGGTATTGTCTAGTCCCTTTAATGAAGTGATCACCTATTTTTGAGGTTTTCTATTTTTAAGAAGAAACAGACAAAGATAAATGAAGTAATAATTAAAACCACATATCAAGTATTTAACCTCCGGTCATTTTTGTTGACCATAGGCCTATAAAGAAGGGTGGAACTTTGATAAATAACATGTAACTCTAAAACCATAAAGATGCAGCTAGCTAGAACATCTCTAAATAATTAGCGTTTGATTCATATGGGAAGAAAACAGTGCCAGGTCTATATCCATACTACCTCAAGAGGGAAATCCTTTATGCTGACATCTACAAAAGATTGGCAGTAATGAGGATCCATGTAAATCAAACTGTCATCTACAAGGACAAAACAGAAGACAAGTAATTCAAAAAACACCTTATTATTACACTGCTTACAATCCAATTTCTATGCAGAACAGCTGGAAAAAAAGCCAGCAAGTAACTGCTTGCCAGGCTGATATTCATTGACGGAAGCATAGGTTTTTGCAGGACAGATTAACTTTTGCATAATCAAATATGCTTGTATAAGCAGAATTTTTATAAAGTGATGAGACTGTCATTTAATTTTAGGTGATAAAATTACTTTTACAAACACACAATTATATTCTGGAGTTTGCATGTGAAAAATGTATTGTTCTACTTCATGCTGACAGGAAGAATATATTGCTTGTCATTTAAGCGTCAGCTAACACCACTTAAACTAGTAAAAAGTAAATATGTAAATAAGAACTGCCAGACAGTAACAGCAAAGGCTCCCGAAGTTTGGGGAAACAGATAAGTTATGCCTTGTTTATGCAACAAGGGAAATTAAATGTACATTTTACAGAATCCAATTACTACAGGGGATAAATGACAAATGACTGGACTTTGGTAGATATGATGAATTAATAAGGTACTCATTTTGCTATTTTAATCATGCTATTTCCCACTGGCCTTATATTAACTTCCTAACTCTTAAAGAATAATATTGAAGAGACATAACATATTAAAACACTAACCTTGAAATCCAGCAAAGTAATATGACTGCTTGGGTTTGCCACCGATAATACCAACACAATACTCAAGGCTTAAAATTCCCTACAAGCAGAACAATAAATAATTAGGACAGTGTTGAACAGAACAGTGTATTAAACTGACTTTACTGTTTTAGGCAAATCCTTTTTTTTTTTTTTTTTAAAAAGTCTGACTTAAACATTGATTTAACTCTTGACTCAACTTTTAAATGCTTGAAGTACTCCCTTTTCCTGAAAGGGGGAGACAAAACATAACATCATACAAATTGAGCATGTGTAGGCTGCATAGGCAAAAGATATCAAAGGATCCAGATTTACAGAGTTCATATATATGTACACACATATATATACGTTTTGTGGCCCTGAAAGTTCTCTTCTTTTTGCATTCAAATATAGAAGTCTGGCTAAAGTGGAGTATGGACTTCTGCATCACAGCAAGAAACGTCAGTTAAAGCAGTAGTAAACGTAATCAGCTCTAAAAACAGCAGCCCAAAATAGAGGAGGAGAGACACGACAGACAAGCCCCTTCAGTCTGGCTGCGTTTTGACCATGAGAGAAAAACAATCAGAGCTATCAGTAAGTAACAAAATCGAGAAAGAGATATTACAAATGTACTTAAAGGGATTTATGGATGGAGGTGGGGTGAAATACAGGAGGTGTAAAGGAACAAATATACTCCCCCAGCTCACTGCAAAGCTAGCAGCCACCGAGGAAAGAAAGAGGTGGGACAGCAGTCATGGAACAGCATCAGGCCAGAGTCTCGCTAGCACAGTTCTGGCCATTCAGGTTGTGAAGAACTGGGATCTGTAATCAATGTGCTTGTGCTAGCACACAAACCTAGCAGATACATAATTATATAATAAAGCTGTGATTTTACAGGTATACCTTCTATTGCTGGGACGAGGATTTGCATGTATACACGTCATTTTGCTGCAGGAAGAACATTTTACTAGTATAATAACTGGAACTCCTGTGTCACCCACACGCTCCAGATGGAGTTGCAGACAACGGACACCAAAGAAAAGTTCTTGAGGTTCTTGTGGAGGCCACTCAGGATGTTACTACCCCGAACTCTTCCAGAAATGACCACTCCCCAAATGGCAGAAAGAGTGAATGTGTGTCCAGCCCCGCTCACCACCACACTCAATGCAGTGGCACAGCTTAAACAGCCGACCAAACTGCATTTTCACAAGGAGGCCAGGCTGCGTGGCTGAGGCACAGGCACACCTTCTTCAGGGGCAGTGATACCTAGCAGAATGGCAGGACTACGTTAAGGGGCAGTAACATCTCAAACCATCCCAGCTGTTAGCCTCAAAACAAGCGAGCCAGACCCACAATGCTGCTTACTCTTTAAAGCTTTTGCAGTCTTTTTAGGCAACCACTGTTGACCTCTCCTCACCTTCTTTGAGAGAAATAATACAATCGCCCAAAGGAGCAAAAGGCTCCTGATTAAGCCCGCCTCACTGCCAAAGAAGTACTCATCAAAAACACCACTGTCACAAACTGAATTCGAACATGCTTATACCCAGCACCTCATTTTAAACAAAGCATCTGTGAGCTTACCCATATGTACAGAGAACCCAGCTAGACTGTGAGGTTATAGTATACATTACAGATTACATTGTTTAACGGCCACCTATGCAACATTCTTGGCGCATAAGCAACGAACTAGATTAAGAAATGTTCTTGATCTTTAAAAAAGGATAGAGGAAAAAAATGGAGATCTAGAGGATGCTTGCAGTTGCAGAATTATTCTGAAAACTGTTTCAAGAGAATATATCAGCTGTTAAAGCAGCTTTATTGACTTGCTGCTATCACTAGCATTTTCACGCTAACAGATAAAGGGACGGCACACTTATGGGGTTTTTTTTTTTTTAATCCCTTTGATTAAATAAAGATAATCACCTCATGCTCCATTAGAGGTAGAACTCAAACATCCCAGGTACTTGCCATTCAAAATTATTTTCTTGCCTGGTTATGTGGCCCTGGCTCATCAGCTGGGGGTTCCTCGTCAGCTTTGTTTTTTTCTGTATTAAAGTAAGTACCTAAAAAGGAATAGAAGCAGGCAGGGAGGACTTTTCTCCTCTGTATTCAACTTATTTCCACTGTTTTCACTTTGACAAGGTTCTGCTACCGAGCAGGACTCATTAGGCTTTTGTGAGTATTCAGTCTTGGCATAACACAGACTTCCTCATTAGTTATCCCACCAGCTCCAGCAGGAGCTGAATTTTGCCAACACTGAAAGAGCGCTTCTGAAAACTCAGCCCAAGGGTTCTCGTGCAACTGAAGCCCAAGATTGTTAAATACCCTGAAAACTGAACCGCCTTTAAACACTCATAAATCACAGTGGTTTTCTTGTGGCACTAGACAAGTCTAGGGTCCAAAAGCTTGGACGCTGGCCCAAACTGGGACAGCAATGCAGAAGGCTATCATTTGCGTTAACAACTGATCTCTCCTCTAAGACATCAGCCACTAAAAGTGCAACCATTACGTTGTCATTGTCAAAAGAGGGACAATTTCTCTCAGCAAAATGACTGATATTTCATGTTCTAGTAAGGCCAAGGTTCTTGTTGGGATAAAGTTTTCCCTATTTAGATGATGATAAAGAAACGTAACATAAGAAAAAAAAAATCTGTTATACTCCTAACCTGGGATGCTAACAAAGTCAGCTTGAGGGTGGTTTTCATAGGTTACGAGAAAATACTGCGTATTTAAAATAGGAATAAGAGGGCTTTTTAAAAAAAACGCTCCTTGAGGGCTGAACGTTACAGAACGTATGTAGGCAGGTCAGAGGCAGAGGGCGAAACGGCAAAGGAGAACGCATATTCATCCTCTACCAGTGAAACAGAAGGAGAGAAAAGCTACTTGGGGTAATGAATAACTGTATAATCTATGGGAATCTTCTTGTAAAAAGGAATTATAAAAAATTTAACAATTTTCATCCATAAATATAAAACCCCTTGTAAAAATTACCTCTTGTACCACATTTTAAAATCTGCATTTTTAACTTAAATCCAGACCCCAAGAAATTTAGTTGCTTCTTGAGAACAGTCAAGATAAGACATTGGAGTGACTAATACATGCAATTGAAAGCCCTCTTATCACAGTCTGTTAGAAGAGACTGATAAAGACAGTACCAGTCTCGGTAAATGAGCGGCAGAAATCACCTCAGTAAAGCCAGTTGTACAAGGCAAACTTAGATAACGTGACCGTGCTGTCACAGCCAGTGCCATGCAACCATATTTTACTCTGGTAAAAGACTGCTTTTCAGAGCTATACTGAAAAAGCCTCTGCAGTGTAGAATTGGCCCCAGGTATCTGCCAACAACAAAAGCTAGTACTGAAGAACTGGAGTCACTTTAGCTGAGAAAGCCTCATGAAAGGTGCAAAAGCAACCGTTTGTTAGCGTACAAACAATGTGTTTTCCTGGACCTAACCTTAAGACTGATTCAAAGGCTCGTTTGCAGTAACAGTGAAGGTAAAGTAAGTGGTGTTATAGATCATGTCTTCAGCCTCAGGCATGTTTTAAATGTGTCAGAATTGCTCAGAAAAGAATTAACACTTTTCCAAAGCCAGCTGTCTAAAAAAATATAAGGAAAAGAACCAGGAAAGAAAAACAATTCAACAGTTCATCACTTAAATAAAAGGCTTCATAGTTCTGTCTTCCTGTGCCATTAAAATAAACAAATATGTTTTCCTGAAATTTTGTAGAGAAGAGAAAGTCAAAAGAAAAAAGATGATGTAACAGAACAGACCGACTCCCCAATGCTGTAAATGCTATTGAATTATGCTATTTTAAGGATTAAAACAAGAATTTAAAGAGAGCATTTTCTCTGACAAATAGCAGCATGGAAAGTGACAACAAAGCAGCAGGGTCGAGAACAATCTCTTCACTGTGAGAACCCTCTCGTGCTGAAGAGGTAGGAGATGGTCCGTTCTGTGAGAGGCCATCTGTAAGCGTTCAGCACCAAAAGCAGAACCTCCGCTGAAAAAGTAAGACGGTATAGGCTTTTGTCGCCTCTGCCGTCTCCTCAAGGTTTTCGTTTTTTCAGTTCATTTTTATTTGTGGTCACTGCGTGCTACCTCTGCATCACTGTCTTCTGAAAGATTCATCCTGATATTTCGCAGAGTGAAATAACACTTGAAGTTATAGTAATTACTAATGATATCAACAATGCCTTGCCCCTTTCTTAAGGGGAAGGAAAAAACAAAAGAAATAAAGATACGAACAGACAAGCAACAACCTTAAACCATTTAAGAAAGTAAGAAGTAGAGTAAGGAATTTGGTATATTTGCTTTTTAAAATGCTGACTAATACTTAATACAGCACAACTCTAATAACATATGTAACTAAATTACCATTTGTAATTTGAGCCACTGCATTAACGCCTTTTCGGGTAGCTACTTTAGGAGTAGAACAGTTATCACTGCTTTACCAAGGGACATCATGTGCTCTGCAATTATGTCTGATCTTGTAATAGGGAAATTTAAAATCTGTAAAGTCAAACTTTACAACCTTCAATTGTAAAATCACCACCACACATTTAATAGGTAGAAGATCACCATCATGAAGTCACTTTTCATATCACCTAGTGCTACTATTTGAAAAATGATTGAACTCTCATTTCATACCTTTACAAACTCTAAATAGTCCATGTTTGTTCTCTCTCCACCAAGTCTCACAGGAACTAATATAATTACAGCTTTTGTATCTGCTTTTTCAGAATCCATAAAAGAACACTGTCTGTCAATAACATCTGAACTGTAGACTGAAAGAAGACAAATGAAAATATTCATATTTAAAAGATATCCTCTCACAAAGACACACCTACAAAATGACATCACTTAGTCTGAGAAACTAAAACTGCAGTCTTGTGAAAATATTACTGTCCTCCTGAAATGCAAGTCCTAAACCATTCTAATAAAAGGTAATATTATATTTCTTTATTTTCAGCAACGTTTTCAAGAATGATAACATGCTGCTACTGAGTTTTAACCAAGAGGACACATTGCCAGGAAAATACAAAAGGGACAGGTTAGGAGAAAGCCAAGAAATATTTATTCAAGTAAGTATTATTTCTTCTAAAGGAGCGATTTAAAATCTGAAAGCCTATGACTAACAGAAACATCTACACATTAAAAGACAAAAGACAAAATTTGGTTTTAATAAATATTCAAGTTCAATGTCTGAAGTTAATACAACACAGTCATCAAATGTGAGTGAGAAAGCTTAATGTGGTGCTTTTGCTTATTCTCTCCAAACCAAGAGGGATGCAAAAGGGTCACAAGAAGTGAAAAATGAATAGAATTTTAGCTATTTCTACTCTTAATACCTTAAATTGGTCATTGCAACTCAGGTAAAGAAGCTGGTTTGTAACATATGATTAAGTAGTGTCTCTTTAAAACTAGTTTGATGGATTACACACGGATGTCATTCTTATCTGTCCTATCTCAAGATTGGTTATGGCATAACTAAAATTTCTGGCAGGTAAACATTGCTACAGAAGTAATATATTGTGCTTAGATCTGAAAGACTATAGTCCTGAGTGTAAAGTTTTAACTACATGTTTAGTTGGTCTTGTCATCATTTTCAGTGCCTGAACCTCCAAAGCTCTAAACTGCTCTGCCTGTTATTATTTAAAATGCCACGTTGGAGCAGAAGAAAGGTTGCAACAGACGCTGGTTCGCTATCCTGCTTGCACCTTTGAGCTTAAAGTTAAAATCACTTCTTATTAGTCTACAAGACTGGTGAAATTCTTTCTATTGGAAAAACGGGTTAAAAAGAATGTTGTGATACAAAAGAGTACAGTTGAAATATTTAAAAGAAACAAATCTACTTTAAATAACTGAAATAAAGTATTTTTCAGCCGTTTGGTTAAGGTTTGGGGTTTTTTTTGTTTTTAGAGAGATACAGAGGTTCTTACTAGCTTTCCACTAGAACAACATTGAAGCAGAGCGGAAAACAGATTATGGACTAATTTAAATCCACAGACTCCCAAAACACAAAAGTTACAGCAGACAGACTGTAAGAAAAATTAATCGTGATGGATTTTGAATGCCATTATCTTAATGAGATAAGAAACAAGCAATGTATCAAAAGCTTTCAAGTTACGATGTCTGATTCTGAATGAAAAGACCAAAGATACGGATATATCAAGAACCTCTCTGTTTACATAATCCCAATTTTGTGGATTCATTTTTGAATATGATTTTTTTCCTGTAGAGGTCTATTGATTCATGCTTACTGAAAGGCTTAAAAAGATGTAAAGTGTTTGCCAAAATCTACATAGCCACAACATTTACCTGTACAATCCTGAGCAACATACACTGTTACTCCTTGAAGCTCGGGGTCTCTTGCTTCTTCAACAGCTTTTCTAAGTACAAACAAAAAACTGTTCAACTCTCTTCTGATTTTAAAGAAACTAACAGTAAGCAAATATAAATGACTTAATTTTCAGAAACAGCTTATTTTTAATTGTTTACTTTTTAAAATTCAAACATCTTCCATTTCTGATAAACACAGATAGGGTGGTGGGTTCTTCTGTTAAAATCTTTTCCCAGAGCCAGCGTATATTACAGTATTTTTTCTCTCAAGCAAAGACGACAGTGACTGGCTATTCAGAAGAAACAATGAAAAACCACACACACACACAAAACCCCACGTTATTTTACAATGAAATTCATATTCACTCCCTAACTTCTTTCAGTTTATAACAGTTTTCTGTCTTGTATATGGGGACAGTAAAAGCTAAATTTGCTCAGAAAAAATACTAATTTCAACATGATTGTTTTCTTTAGTTAGCCTTAACTCATATCCTAACCACAAATTAGCACTTCACGTCTACTGAAATAAAAGCTAACACAAAAAAAAGCTGCAAGGTTTCACCAAAATTTTCAAAATGTAAAGGTATTATTAGACTGTGCTCAAAAGAATAAGAGTAATGGACCTAAAAACTAAAAAGAAAATATATGTCAATAGTCTGAAGCATGATCATCAATCAAAGACAACATTTGTAAAGAAATTAAACCGTTCAAAATAGAAGATTACCCTTTGACTTTCAATACATGTTTGCATTAAATGGTCACTATCCCTTTATTTCACAATACATTTTGAGGAATCATTTAGTATAGTCATTCTTAAGTTATGAGAGAGCTATACACTCTTAGTACTGCTATAAGGCAGAAAGCAGATCTAGGAAAGGAAACCTTTGCAGCGTTTAAAATCACTGGTGGGTTTATGTTGAAGGGAATGCTCGGACCAATTTTTTTTTTTTTATTAGGAAAATGAGCGAGTCCAATTTAAAATATGCAAAAAGAATTCTGATAGTTTCTATTATCAGAAAAAAAATGCAAGAAAGCACATAAAGAATGCTGACTTGTCACATCACCGTATGCGTTTGAATGTATGCACCCATATCCGCTGGAGTATTTCAGCATAGGCTCATTTAAGATGAGTATACTTGTATACTAATTATCAAATTCTTCTACCTACATATAGGTAGCATACGTATGAACTTTGACTTCTGCTGTTTCACTTATTAGAGATTCAGTTTATAACTAAACTGGAATGCACTAAGAACATACGACTGTAAAAAGCAAAAAATCTGTAACATTCAAAGAAATAGCATATAAAGGTACATAGTATGGAGAAATTTGACTTTCGACTTTTTTTAAACCACACTGAATGTCACAGACCCTTTACTTTTACTATGATATAATTATAATATTAATAGTCCCATACATTTACAGTTTCACAAGAATTTGATGTGTGCAAAGAAATGCTGAAAACATCAATTTTAGCTCTGACATTTCATTACACTATCAGTACATTACAGCCCCCAGGTTACAGTATTAAAAAAAAAAAAAAAACCCTATAATGTTATGCATGTTCCAAGGTTGAAAGAGTGGTTAGTTTTTAGAACATTTCATTAAATACAGCTCTACTTAAAAGCTCAGGTTTGGGAAAGACCTTGGGACTTCTACTGCCCAAAGTACAGGAAAACAGGAAT